ATCTCGCGCGTTTCATGATACCTGGCACGCTCATTAAGTGTAGCCAAAGTGTAGTTCATCAGCTATGCAGCTGACAACTTTTCCAGTTCTTTTGACCTGTTTAGCACTGTCTAACATTTTTTGGATAAAATAAAGCACTGTACTGAAACTAAACTAAACTGGACATATCAAACGTGGACACTGCACTGAATCGAAATGAATCGAAAGTTGAAATGAACAGGGCAGTGCGGCGCTGAATGAAATAAAACAATTTTTTGATAGAAATAAATATTAAATGAAGTTGGAATGAATTTGATTGAACGAGCGTAACAGATGTGAACATCAAATTTAAAAACACACAAAATTCTGTGGCAACTGGCGGACAACAAGTTAAATGATCTAATCAAATGAATGCTCCCTGAGGATTCTCTGTTGCGACCTCGATTCATCCGAGCAGCCATGGCTGCTTGCGGAAGGAGTTAATTCATGAAACCAATACGGGGAGCAGCTGTATGTGCAAGGAAAACGATGAGGGGTGATTTGGTGAGCCTCATAAAATGTTGTAAAACATATGTTTATCCCTCAATATGGCTGAAAATACATGCACAGATGAATAGCTAATTTTTACAACCTCCAAATGCGCTCGTTCGTGCCCAGCCAACCTCATCCGCACGCTTCCCCACTTTATTTCCATTATCACAGGTTACTGATACTAAAAAAGTGATGTAAAAGCGATGCAATTTCGAAAACAGCATAAAGAAAACCGATATTGTTAAAGATCACCTTCCTCACATTTTTGTACCAATGTATTATAAGAGAACCAGCCTGGGAGAGGGGCAAGATGAGCGAGGTGAAAGGGGGTAGACGCGAGGGAAGAGGCAATTCGTTTTTGTTTGCCTTTTTTTTAACTCAATTGACCTCCCATACGATATGCAAATGTCCTGACTTGTGACTAGAGTTCCCCCTCTGTGGTAAAAATGACATGATAAAATCCGCTCAATAATCTTATAAGTTAGTGGAATGATGACAGCTTAGTGCTGCAACTAATGTTCCAGCGATCGAATTACATCCGTTTTCTTTCCTTTCCATGTTAGTTTATTTCCAAAAAAAGTTTTTTTTTTGCTTTGGTATTAGGCACCACGCTCCGTAGATACGCTCGCAGAAGGCAAATATTACTTATATGACGTCGGAATGTCAAACCAGGATGTTTCTAAGAACCTAAATACGACTGTTACTGTTCCCTCCTCAATTTGCGTACCTCGATCGAATGCTCTGAATTTCGGTCCACCGATGATTTTACGCCCCTTCCCTTCCGATTTCCTGGTCTCGTGATTACGGTTACGGATTACTTTTTCACCTCGTAATAGTACCATAGACAGCCTACAGAAGTGGATTAAAATTGTAATTCCGCGCTGGTGCTGGATAAACCGATTGTTCTGGGTCGACAATCCCTTTCATTCAGTTGTTAAGGGAAGAAAGTGACAACACGAAGCACTGGAAACAAAAATACACATTAAAAACTTCAGATTGACGAAATGGTGCCTTTCATACTTTTTTCTAGTTCATTCTCATGAATTATTTAGCATTTAACACATCTATTCAAATTAACACTAAAGTACCTAATAAAATATTTGGCGGACCACAGAGTTCAGAAAGGAAGAAAGACGATGATGCGTCTAATAAATTAACTAGTGCGGAAAACACAATGATTTCCAGCAGAGAACACAATTCAACGATTAAAAAAAAAAAAATCAGTGTTCCATAAACCACCAGCATTCTATGTCGCATTTTAAACACACGTTGATGAGGAAGACCTGCTTACTGAGGTTCAGATTTGGGCAGCAAAGAACCGCGAAAAGTTTGGGGCTGTTGGCTTGCCGAACTGGCCGGACTGGTGAACGCAGGAGATGGAGCCATGTTCATGCGACGAAGATCAGTGTCACCATTTGGAAGCACAACAGATGCTGGTACTGAAGGCGTTGTAAGTAACGGAATCTGGAAAAAATTTTTCAACTAAAAAAAACACAATCAAAGCACAATCGAGAAATCTGATTCTACAAGGAAAGAAAAAAAAAATTAAAAATAATCCCGATGAGGACAGTTAAATTCAAAAATACCCGCACTGCACGAACCAACTGCACTGAAAACAAAAGTTATGTGATGAGTACCAGGAAATTTGTGGATTAAGCTAGGTATCTAACAAGAGGGAAGCAAGAGAGGAGATTTTTCAGCTAGAAAGTGGTTGTCCAAATGCTCCCTGAATTTCCTTACAGGCATGAAGAATACAAAAACAATCAAGTACAATTTAACGAGAGGTAAATTCTTTTTTACTGCAAAGGCCAAACAAACATCCGTGACTACTTAAAAACCTACACGACTGTATTACTCAACGGCACTAACTGCAAATTTTTATGGCTACGCTTCCTGTAAAGAAAATTTCTGAATTTTTATGGTTTTACAATTGTACATCCTGGTACAGTTGTGCCCGATGTGCGGGAGAATTCTGGCAACATTCATAGGCTCCCTTTGCTGGCTGGCTCCGTGGTCAGCCGGTATTCCTGGTGGCTGAATGTCCAGATTCATCATACTTCGTGAGCAACCACAGGCCATGATGACGCAGAATTTCGTGTACAAATGCGCAGAAGGCTAATAAACGCGTACTCAGAAAACAGTAAAACGAAGAAGCTTTGCACAAACCTTATTATGTAGGAATGCTTTCACGTAACATCCTAAAACAATGTGCACCTCAGCGGGAAATTAATTTTC